CCCCACAGGTGCTCCCAATGCAGTAAATGATTTGTGAGCATGGCCACTTGGTGATACATTAGAGGTGTCACACCAGGGAGAAACCCTTTCAATGTTCTGATTGTGTGAAAAGTTTCAGTCAGAACTCCAGCCTGGTGATACACCAGAGGATGCAAACAGAAAAGAAATCATATGACTGTCTTGATTGTGGGAAAAGTTTAATTGCAAATTCTTACCTTGTGAGACACCAGAGGATACACACAGGAGAGAAACCCTTTGAATGTCCTGACTGTGGGAAAAGTTTCAGTCATAAATCTAGCCTGGTGATACACCAGAGGACTCACACAGGAGAGAAACGCTTTGAATGTGCTCTTTGTGGGAAAGGTTTCAGTCAGAATTCCAGCCTTGTGAAACACCAGAGGAGTCACACGGGAGAGAAACCATATGAGTGTCCAGTTTGTGGGAAAAGTTTCAGTCAGAATTCTAACCTGGTGCAACACCAGAGGACGCACACAGGAGAGAAACCGTATGAGTGTTCAGATTGTGGGAAAAGGTTCAGTCGCAGATCCGGTCTGGTGACACACCAGAGGATTCATATAGGAGCGAAATCTTTTGAATGCCCTGACTGTGGGAAAAGTTTTGTTCAAAATGCTTACCTTATAAAACACCAGAGGATTCACAGAGGACAGAAATCATATGAGTGTCCAGACTGTGGGAGACGTTTCATTAGAAAATTCCAGCCCACGAGTCACCAGAGAATACATACAGGAGAGAAACCATTTGAATGTCCAGATTGTGAGAAAAGTTTCAGTCAGAATTCCAGCCTTGTGAAACACCAGAGGAGTCACACGGGAGAGAAACCATATGAGTGTGCACTTTGTGGTAAACGTTTCAGTCGAAATTACAACCTAGTGAAACATCAGAAGACTCACACAGGAGAGAAACCCTTTGAATGTCTTGACTGTGGGAAAAGGTTCAGTCAGAATTATGAACTGGTGATACACCAGAGAAATCACACAGGAGAGAAACCATATGAGTGTCCAGTTTGTGGGAAAAGTTTCAATTACAATTCCAGTTTAGTGAACCATCAGAGGATTCACACAGGAGAGAAACATTTTGAATGTCCTATTTGTGGGAAAAGTTTTAGTCGGTACTGCAACCTGATGAACCACCAGACGACTCACACAGGAGAGAAACCATATGAGTGTCCGGTTTGTGGGAAAACTTTCAGTCACAATTCCTACCTGGTGAACCACCAGAGGACTCACACAGGAGAGAAATTATATGAGTGTCCAGATTGTGGGAAAGGTTTTATTAGAAAATTTCAGCTCACCAGTCACCAGAGGACACACACGCGAGAGAAAGCCTTTGAATGTCCTGATTGTGGGAAAGGTTTTATTAGAAAATTTCAGCTCACAAGTCACCAGAGAACTCACACAGGAAAGAAAGCCTTTGAATGTCCTGACTGTGGGAAAAGTTTTGGTCAGAATTCACACTTGGTGATACACCAGAGGACTCACACAGGAGAGAAACCGTATGAGTGTCCTATTTGTGGCAAATTTTTTATTACAAATTCCCACCTCTTGAGACACCAGAGGACTCACACAGGAAAAAAAATCCTTTGAATGTCCTGTTTGTGGGAAAAGTTTCAGTCAGAATTCAAACCTGGTGAGACACCAGAGGACTCACATCGGGGAGAGCTTTCAAATGTCCAACATATGGGTGGTACTTCAGGTGTAAATCTCCCCTTACTGAACGCAAGAAAATAGACACAAGGCAAAATTTGATGAATTTAGAACACTTGAATTTCATTTCTGATGTCTAATTGAGTGTGTAGGTGAGAAATTGACTATTTGAATTCTGGCCTGATGCTTTTAAGTTAACACATCTCAGGTTTAGACTAGTAGGTGGAGAGAAAAACGTGGAAATTGTTAGTTTGATAAAGGCTATCCATTTCTTCTTATAGCAGAAGTTTCTGGATATTTCCTTTTGCAGAAGTTGTAATGGGACCTGCCAATTTGGTTGCATGTTGCAATGAGGGCTAAGCGAGATTTCCTTGCTAAACTACCCCCGCCTGTTTCTCTCCCTGATGAAACTGTTAAACAAATGTGTAAGTCCTCCATACCTTTTGAACTTCAGGTTGGTGAAGGACATGTATTACTAGGCTGCATGACTACGTCGTGAAAGCAGCCATTATTTTCACTGTGCCTGGACCATGTGGTGGACTTCTGGAAGCAGCTGCCATTTTGCCATGACTGCCTCTGGGTCAAAATGGTGGCTGCCTCTTGATCACTGTCGCCTGGGAGTGGGACAGAGTATTTTGTTTTGCTTCCTTAACATTTTGTAGACTGTGTTAAGGGATTGTGAGTGCCTTAAAAATGGTGGCTGCCTCCGGGAGATCTCCAGAATAGCAGGCCATGTATCCCTGGGGCGCACAATAAGTGGACAAGTACAATTTGTCCCTTTATTGCTCTGCAGCTACCAAAAAAAAGCCAATGCAGTCCTAGGTTGCATCAACAGAGGAATAGTGTCAAGACAACAAGAAGAGATAGAATTGCTTTATACAGTGCTGGTGACACTACACTTAGAATACTGTGTCCAGTTCTGGTCACACGATACAAAATAGTTGTTGAGACCCTGGAAAGTGTGCAGAGAAGAGCAGTAAAGATGATAAAGGGTCTGGACGCTATATCGTTTGATGATCAGTTGTGGGAGATAGGTATATCTAGGCTATCAAAGGGAATCATTAGGAGGGACATGATAGCTGTCTTCCAGTACTTGAGGCGCTGTCACCAAGAAGAGGTGATTGACTTACTCTCTAGGTCACCTAAGGGCAGGATAAGTAGTAATGGATGGAACTTTAGGACAAGTAATGGATGGAGGTTTATTAAAATGAGATACAACATACCGTGTTTTCCCCAAAATAAGACTGGGTCTTTTTTTGCCTCCAAAAGAGGCACCAGGTCTTATTTTCGGGGGATGTCTTTTATACAAGCCCGCCAGCCAGTCCACTTCTTCTGCATTCCAGCCCATATTTCGCCGTCGGGCCTTTCCGGATTCAATCCATAGCTGAGTTCTAGGCTGCAGATGCCTTGCAGAACCGAGCTATGGATTGACTGAATAGCTGGATTCTCAGCTACAAAGGCCTTCCAGAAAGGCCTCTGACTGCAAAATGCAGGCCTGGGAATGCCACAGAAGTGGGCTAGTGAGAACAGGCCTGGCTACAAGTGGGTGCAGGGTGCGTGGGGCAGCTCTATACCCCCACCCCTGCTCTAGCTTGATTTTCAGCTATGTGCCTCGCCCCAAAGCTAGGGCTTATTTTCAGGGTAGGCCTTACTTTCGGGGAAACACAGTAGAAGTAAGGAGAAATTTTCTGTCAGTGAGGGGCAATTAATAGAATAGCTTGCCTCCAGGGATTGTGGCTGCTCCTTTACTGGAGATTTTCAAGAACAAGCTGGACAACCAGTATAAGGTTCCTGCCTTGAGCAACGGGTTAGACTAGAAGACCTCCAGGGTTCCTTCCAAGCCTATAACACTATTTTTCCAAGGATTTAGAGGTAGTTTAGAAAATAGGTACAGAGCAGCCCAATGAACTTGCTCCTCATAAGTTTTTTTTTTAAACTATGTTATTCAGAAAATTAATATAAAGTATAAAATCCTCCCAAAAAGGAAATTTTAAAAAACAAAACAAAGACAGACAAAACATTTTACAAGAATGAAAAAATGTTCATTAAAAAAGACAAAAATAGATTTACATATATTATCCTCCCTCATTTGAGCATTCATAAACATATTGTCGCAATTTTAGTTGGCTCTCCTTGCGAAGCAGGCCCGAAATTTACAAAGTTCTACCTCTATTTACAACCAATCTGACCTTCCTCTCTCTACTATATAGAGAGACAAAGTAGTCAGCGGGTGAACTAGCAATTAAAACATCAACCCATTTTGTTAACAATCTATACTGCATTTAACTTGTGTAAAGTCTAAAGTCTAGAACGGCTTCGTATTTACCCCGAGTCACCCGAATCATTGTCTCTGATCTGTCTAGGATGAAATATCTTTGTTTGATTGCTATTAATAAAACTTTTTCAGAAGATTTTGGTTGAGAACA